TTTTTTTTTTTTTTTTTTTTTTTAATGCGACAACTAAGATAGCACGTTTTATTTAATTTTGAAGAATTTTATTCAATCGTCAAACTCGTTTATTTTACTACGGCAATTTTTATTCAAATTTTACTGTTTTACCATTTTTTTTTTTTAATTTTTATTTCTTGGATAACTTTCGTATCAAGAAGGCGTTGCGTGGAGATATGATGTGTGTCAACATTTGCTTGGAGGCAATCGATTTCGCGGACTCTTTGCGTACTTACGAGCAATTTTCGAAAGCTTGAGAAAAATACGGTTAAGCATATTGTGCCCCCGTACATCGTCGAGCGGAAACACTATCATACTTCATTTCACTGTCATCGACGGCCTATCAGCTTATCAGAATGCGTAGCTGATCGCACGTGTAACTTTTCGAATGTATGCGCACGTAGGTTAATACAATACGCATTTTCAATTCCATATCATCGTATCTGTGATATGTATCGAACGTCCATCATGCGAATAATTGTCATCGTTGAAACCTAATCCTTCTGTCCAAGGAGGAGGAAAATGAGGGGAAAAGAGATATAGAGAAGGAGAAAAGGGAAGAGAGAACGTGCGCATATGTATGCATGTAAGGCGAGAGAGCGATAGAATGTTTGTGTGTGTGTGTGTGTGAGAGAGAGAGAGAGAGAAGAGACAGAGGTCAATTAGTATGGCAATATCGATCTCGTGAATCGATCTCTAATGCGCATTTTTCATTTTTTCACACTATTTTATACATTTTTATTTAATAGACGGCTGTTTACATTTTAAGACCTACGGATCATTCTTTAGTACGTTTTTTTTTTCTTCTTTTTTAATACAGAAGACTGTCATTTCAATGCAATCATTTCGATCGGCGCATAGTACGGATCTATATGCAAAATTGAATATGCTTGTGTTTGAAAAGCGGGTCAGAAATTTGTACGCATAACGAATGTTGTTCGATAATTCGGTAATTCGATCACAGCTAACAGCGCAGCTGTTGATCGATCATCGATCGACGAAAATAATCCTACTAATTGTTAAATAAGGATTGTACACTTTTTTTTCTAGTTTCTTCGAGAATAGGGATGTTTCTTTCGATTTCTCCAAATTGTTCGTTCTTATTGAAACAACGTGAACACGCGGTTGTTGGCGATCTCTCTATCTTTTTGTTGTTAGGAACGGTATACTCGTGTGTAAAGATACGTGGAACGTGCCAAGTAAAAAAAAGAAAAGTAACGATTCAGCTGTACTGATTTTCCTCGAACGGGAACCTCGTCCGTATGAGAATTTTGATGGAATGGTATCGTTGACCTCAACGTTTCCGATTCCGGTGACGTGTTCTACGGGCACACTACGCTACGAACGACGCGTGATATACGGTAAATTTTCGTGTAAAATAATCATCGATTGCTTGGTATATGTTGTACATAAACAGGTTTGCTGATATAGAAGCTGCAAAGTATAATTATATATGTGAATATGTAATATGTGCACGGGCCCTTCCCCCAGAACGCCCGCTCTGTTGTATCATATTAAACCAAAGACAGTTCAACATACATTCTGCATTTCGTTTCATTTGCGCTGTATCTTCCCCGATCCTCCTGCGACTCTCCCTTCTTTCAACGTGTAAAAATCATTAACAATAAGAATTAAACGTTGAAAAATTATTCACTCACGTGCGCCCTCGTGTGCACGCATGAAACACTTAATTTACTATGAAAAGTAAAATTAAGGATCGTCAGTTTTCGGTAAAAGATCACTCTTCTGTCTCACGTAATAAACGCTTAAAAGAATATTACTCGTTGAAAAATTTTCACATATTCATGAATTTTCTCTATTCTAAAATTCTGGAATTGTTCTCGTTTACAATTTCTCCTCAATATTGTCACCCAAAATCGCAAGTTAACGCGTAAGAAACGACGTTACATCGGAAACGCTAGAATTTAGAAATTAATAATAAATTCGTACGCCTGCTGGCCACTTTTCATTTTATCGTCACGATGGCGCGCGTTGATTGTCACTTAATCCCGTTTGTAAATTTGCCAGCCGGGTAAGAAAGACTGGTCGTTTCCCATGATCAATGGCCGAGTCGTCGTGTGTTCGGTGCTGTCTACGTCTTCAATGTTTGAGAGGAAACGCGTAAGTACATGATCATCGTCCCGGGCACGGCTCTGTGCCGAGCCGCCGTGTTTGCCCATACTGTTAGTTCGTTGTCATCGCTCTCCCAACTTACCTTCTCATAAGGATTTCCACTTCACTCGTGCTGACCGTCTGTTTGACGATCCCTGCCCGTCTTCCCTTCTGTGTCCTCGCTCAGGTGGTTTCCCGAGCGCCGCCAAGGTGTCAATGTTTTGCCTAGCCATTAAGATCGTTAGTCCCCCTTCCTGCATCGTTATGTATATTTGGTTGGAGAACGAGATCTTGACGATCGAATTCTATCGCAATTACAACTGAGTACAAACCAGTCTCGTTGGTATATTCTTCTAAATAACGTCACGTTAAAATCAATTAAGAGATTCTATTGCTTTTCATTTTTTCCTTCTTTCTTTTTTATTATTGAATGTTGAATCGATAATGAAATACGCGAAGCTTAACCCTTTGCGGACGGAGGACTATGTGCCATATTGGTCGCTATCTTCCAAACTAACTTACACGAAAATTACATTTTCACGAGTTCACGATCACCGCGACTATTTTTCTCGCTGAGAAATACGAGTTTATCGGTCGCTTTCGTAGCGTTTCGTGACCGCGTCTATCGTCCTGAAAGGGTTAATAAGAAAGCAAAAACGAGAAACGATATGTAAAATCGCGTCGGCGATTCACCGGAACAGCGTATTTTGAAATATTGTCAGAGATATAAATATTCATGCGGTACCGCT